CTACTTTAAAGTTCTGATTGTAATATATAAACATAATGTAAGCTTAATATTAAATATTTAAATATATTAATAATGATTTTATGCTCTGGTTTAATCGTAAACAAATTCAATATCAGTTATAAAGGCAATCTAGCTATCAGATACGTCGAATCTACTTTAAGCAAAGATCTCGCCTACATAGATATATAAAACATCATAGTCAAGTTTTGAAGGTCTCGCTGACATAAACATAACAGAATGCGAGATGTAAATAAAATATGATTAGGCTTATATAGCTATAGCTATAGATAGATATACTTACCATAGGCTTGTTGCATAAATATATAACTGCTCATTATTGCGGCAGCAGCGACTCAGATTCAGAAAGATGATATCGAATTGCAGTGAAAAAATGTGGCAAAACAAAAGGCAGTAAAGAGAGGTTTGGAGTAATATAAAAAACTATATATAACTAATTATTAAGTGTAGATAAACGCTGAAAGCGTAAAGAAAAATCTACAAAAAAACTACGACGAGAACTAAACTAAAAACAAAACGTTTCAACTAATTGCTAAATTAACGAGATGCGCGTTTTAAAAAATATATTTTTAAAAATTATTAGAGAATTTGACAGGCAAAAGAAACCTGCTGAATAAAAATTAATAAAAGTGAGAGAAAAAAATCACAGCGAATTTTGAACGGGTATCAAAAACAAAGTTTGGCTCAAAGCAAACGAATGGGCCAAGTTAATAACAAGCGAAAGGTGTGGGGCGGATACACACGCTCACACACACGTACACACACTCACGCTGTGAAACACTTGGTAAATGTGTGCAGGAGTTAAGGGCTACTGGAGGGGAGGGGATTATAATAGGGATATGGGCTTTTATTTCTGGTCAACTGCTGCCGCAAATACTTCAAAGGCGTGGCAGCGGCAGTGCAGGTTTTTTTTATCTTTTTTATTTGTATTTTTTTTGTTGGGCTGCTTGTGGGGCGCTTGCTTGTTGTTTTTTCCCCTTGGGCCGTTTAGCGTCGCTTCACCAACTTTTGCGAATTGATCACAATTTCACGGTTCCACATGTAACGGTATCCACAGTGTGGTATCATGCTCACAAAGTCCTTTGCGCACACAAACGAATGCTGGCCGAAATGTTGCAACCGTTGCCCCAGCTTACGTATGGCCTTAACAGAGACAGCGCGTGCCGCTGACGCAGTTGGTACGCGCACAGAGGGAGCGAGAGCGACAGTGATAGAGAGGGGGAGAGAGAGAGGTGTGTTGCACGTTGATCAGCTACATATAGTTGGCTTTTGTGTGGAGCACCTCAGACGCACGCGTTTCGTATTGTTTGGCGCCGTCGTTGCGAATTTCGTGTGTGTGTGGCACAGGTTCGCACGCACAGTTTGAGAGTCTCGGCTACTTTTACAGTTTGAGAGCCAGCTGAACGCTGCTCAAATAAAAATATTTCCAATTCGATTTCGATTTCGAGCAAATTCCACGGTTTTTTCCGTTACGCTTTTTGTTTTGCGCGTTTCAAAACGCCAAGACGTGCGCTTTTTTGTTGTTTTTATTTTATTTTATTTAATTTTGTTTTGCTGTCTGTTTTTGCCTTGCTTCTTTTTTTGCTTGAAGGCAGTTTCTTTGTTTCCCAGTTGTTGTTGTTGTTGTTTTCGTTATTTTCGTAACTGAAACCAAAAGCCGTGTTTTAAGCCGAGCGCACGCGTCAGAGTAACGATTTGTACTGAGCACTGTGCGCGAAGCGCGCACGGTTTTTGCCCTGGCCAAGTCATCAATATACAAAGAGAGAGAGAGAGAGAACGGGAGAGAGTGGGCGCGTGTGTGTGTGTGTGTCTGTGGGAGACAACAGCCCTGCAATAAGATCAATCTCCGGCGCCGTCTCTCGATCAGCTGCCGAGCACAAAAACCCGAATGCGCGAAGCTTACAAATCAACAACTCTTGCACAGTGGGTCAGAAAACCAAACTCACTGTGAATATAATATGAGCTATATTCGAAAATATAATGTACAACAATACAGACAAATTATAAATCTGTAAAACTTAAGCCTTAACAAATAATATTTGATTGTTTCGAGCATAAATTACGAATCTTTCATTATAGATTTCACGTTTTTTCCGACTGAAGTCGACGTATCGCTTTTTGTTTCACCAAAATCCATCATCTTTCCAATTTTTGAGAACTATCTAAATTTAAGGGGGTTTTTTTTTTTAAATAAATTGTTTTTCTAGTTAAAATTGACTTTCTTTACATTCCTAGAGTGTCAATTAGTAAACGTATAGATACACTTGCAGTAGGTTATGGGAAATTAGCATGATAATGTAGCTTAAATTTCCAGTAGACACAAGAAAACCAAGTTTACTTTTTGGAAAGCACGCTTTCTGGAAGTTTTAAAATATTTACCCACTGTGCTTCGAACTCTGAACAGCGCTTCAATCCATATATTGAATATGTGCTTTGATGCACATTATCAATAATGTTTTTTATGAATATACGTAAGTGCGGCCAGCCGACAGGTCTCGGTGCACAACCGCAAACCCAAATCCCCCCATAGCAGTGATAGGCATCCAAAATTTAAGCTCCACATTTTGACGACATATTTATGACAAATAAAATCGGCCAGACGACTCGAGACCCCAGTGGAAACAAGGTGACGTTCAATGAACTTGACTCAAGACTCAACCCAGAATGCGATTCGAAGAGATAGAAGTGGCCTGTTTGGCTAGCTCAAGCAGGTTATCCATTTGAAAGAAACTGATCTTTAATAATAACAATAACATTTCTATAATACTATATACTTCCTCTCACGATAAGTTGAGCATGTGACAAGGCTGAAGAAGAAAATGAACAGCATTATAAAAGTCAGCGGCAGAGTTCAATGACAGCGCCCTATATAGAGATCGCTCTCTCCCTCGTCTATCTCTTTCTCCTTCGATCTCTCTCTTAGTCTCTGTCTTTCTGTTTCCTCGGAGATTAAGGCGGAATTTAGTCTAAAGAGCCTGTCATAAAGGCAGACCAAGCCCCAAAAAATTTCAGACGAAAATGGGGGGCACGTCCACCAGCAGAGCGAAAAGTTTAAATTTAAAACAAAGAAATTATAAACTTAAATTTCCTGTTGAAGTTCGAAAAAAAAATAAATTTTAATTTATGCCAAATCACAAAAAAATTTCCATCACAAATAAAGATCAACTGGTTCATTGATCTGTCAGCTGATAAGTCCTTGAACCTGCAAGAAGCTCTACTGCATTTTGTACAGGGTATTAAAAGCGGTTTCAAATCAATATCAATTTCTGGTTTACATTTTTCAAGCGTGCCGACCTTCAACTAAATTGCTACAAATCTGTATTTTTTCGAGTTCTTGAAAAACTTGTAATGAGCGGGCCTGAGAAAAGAAACTCGGTTGTTTGACTTAAGAGCGCCTTCAAATCTCTAAAATACAAACTAAACAATATCTAACAATCTCTCAGTTTTTGACAAAGCCCAAAAGTGATTTCACACTCGTGTTCATTCGAACCACATAACTTTGATTCAAAAAAAATAAATTCAAACAAAAAACATTTTTGCCTTTTCTTGTCAATAATATATAATATATATATAATATATATAATATATTCGATATCGAATATTGCAGTTTCTTTAAAATACTGTCCGACTTCCTAAAAACAAACAAATGTCGAACAGTTAAAAGAAATATTAGCGTGATTCAGTTTTAAGACCCAGAAACAGGTTTTAAGAGATCGTTTAAGGGTACTTCGTATTCAGACCACAACAAAACAAGCTCAGCTCGAACATTATTTGTCTACATTTTTCAGACGTTCAAAGTTCAACTGCGTTATAAAATGTTTGTTTTGGGTTTTGGTATATGAAATAAAATCCATATATATATATGAGGCTCTTAATTGTAAACATATCTGGAGACTAACGAAACAAAACAAAATGTTTTTCTATTCAATTATTGAAACAATTATAATTTTTAGTTTTATAGAAAAAATGCAATACAAATATAACGAACAAAATCGTTTATTTGTAATCTCCCCTCATATATAATATTGAATCATATTAAATTGCAGAATAATAATCAAATTAATTTTGGGTGTCTTAAAAAATTATATGATTGATTGGCAAGAAAATAATGATTAAAAAAATATGTATTGTTCGAATGTTCACAAATTATCAGCAAGATATAACTTATCAAGTGTTGTTTTTTTCTAAGAAATATCTTTGGCAAAAGCGATAATCATGCTGCTATCGCAGCCTAATTAAGCTCCAGTTAATGGAGAACGTTTCAAATAAATAGCGTCGACTTTTTTTGCACGTGTATTATTTGATTGAATTATTGCCGGACAAAGACCATTGTATACTTGTTTTTACTTAGAAAAACATTAAGTGTAACTCAACAACACTGCAAAGATACTTCTTATTTATTATTAGTTTGGATCGTTTTTTTTTTTCTGTTTACAAGACTTTTATGCCATCTAACAAGTTGGCCATTAAAAACTGAGTAAAAGCACACAAACATTTTAGACGTGCTGCTGGACGCGTTGTAATTCCCAACGAGTTTAATTTTTAAACGACTTTAAAGGGGGTTCAGCTTTTAATTTGGTCAATTCGATTGTGATTTGTTTGTAAATTATTAAAAGAAATAACTAATATTAACCTTGGGTCAGCCAGCTAAAATATTAGTTTTGAAAACTCGACTATAAGTAAACTAAAGTTAATATCGATTTTCGAACCATAAGCACTTTCAATATCACAATTAATTAATTAATTACATTGCGAAAATCTAATTACTTAGCATCGTTTTTATATGACAATTTACTTAATCTATTAAAAAATATTGGGACGGACTTAAATTAGTCTTCAAGATAAGAGTAGTCTAGACTCTAGCTAACCCAAATTAAATATATATATATATTTTTCATATCTTAGTTAAGCTCTCGTCTAACCCTGTTGACTTGTTTATCTAATATCCTAGCTAGGCTCTGAGCCAAACTTTGTTAACTTGCCTTCATCCTTGAGATCCGAAAATTCGACAACGAAATCCTCGTCGCTCAGCAATCCCATAGTTGCAGCCTTCTGCAAAATGTCCGCCTCGTCGACGCTCAAGAGCGTAATACCTACAAAGATCGAAAAGATATAATATAAATCAAATTCGATTGTATTTTATTCACTGACCGTTTGCAAAGTTATCGTCATAGAGAAAAGTAGTTGTTGGGTCGTCAAGCGAAAAGAGCTCGCTGGTCACTGCCGAAGGCGGCGAGGCTGGCTCCAGCTTCGGATCCCAGAACAACTCTTGGGGCAAATCTAAACTCTCCATTGTCATATGTGAAGTCAAAGGCGAAATCGGAATCTAAACTTGATGTGATATATGGTGAATATATTGAAGACGTTTCGTAGAATGTGATGAACGCTGGTTGTTGTTGTTGTGAGGACGCCATGGTGGCACTGCAATTGGGAGAAGCAAAAAAGCAAAATAGACAAATGTTTGATTAATATAAATTACTCGGCACTATTTGGCTGACCTGCACTGTATGGCGCGCTTGAATTGATAAACAAATTGAACAACTCATTCGAAACTGCAGCTAGACATAAACAAAACAAGTTGCCTGTTCAGACGACGTCAACAGCTGATAAGCCCTTAAGACCATGTCCAACCACATGTCAAGGGCTAAACTTTTTTTTTTTTTTTTGATTCTATTAAAATTTGCATAAGGCTTGAAGTTGAGCCAAAGGGTGCAAACTAGAGATGGGAGAGTGCCTGGCACGATCAGCTTTAATTTTTTGGGAATTATTGAACAAACTCTGATGATTTGCCGTATCCCACGTTAAGAAATACTAATTTATATTTTCTAAATATTCTATTAGTTTTCATTTTTATTCTTAGAACTCTTTTCTAATTGAATTTTATGCGATTCTTTAATTGCTGAACCAATTCGTATTTAATACGAACACGTCGTGTTAATGATAGATAACACGACGCGAACCCAGCTCTAGTTCGCATAGCCATAAAAAAACATTTCTCTTATCAACAAATAGCTGCCTGCTATGTGCACGGGCAGCGCAGTCGACGTCAAAATCGCATGCTTATGCATAGAGCGCAAGAGTAGCGCAGCGGTAAATTGAGTGAGTGAGCTAGGTAAATAAGATGATTCACGAGCCGCTGCACGTGCTGTAGCATGTGGCAAGGTGAAGAATCAAATGTCGCTTAAGTTTACGCAACTGACCAGTCGATTGCATCAGCCAATTTCAAAGATTCCGCTGTCTGGACTGCCTGGCTGTTGCATGCCACAAGCCATTGGTAAACAATTCTGCCACGTTACCATGAATCGACAAAACAAGCAACAAACACACTCGCACCTATAACTGTTTATATACAAGTCCGTGTGTGGCTGTCAGCGTGTATGTGTGCGCCATTGCGAAATTGTTGCACTCTTGCATTTTTAGCACTTGTTCAATATTGGTACTTACATCTTTTTTGTTAACATTTTCATAACTTTGTGTGTTGGGGCACTGTTCGTGCTTGTGTTTTGTTTGCGCGCAAACTATAAAGCCATTTTTATTTCCATATAAATGCAAAATACACGAGCGAAAATATTTGGACCTTTTTGCGTTTCATTTGGAACGATACTGAACTGGTGTTCAGTGTTTCGGAACTACTTGGACTCTATGGTTCCAATGAACGGATGTTAGTCAGTAACAGTGACTCATTTGCGCAAATTTCGTAAACAGTTTCGTGAACTGAAAAACAAATCAAATAACTTATTTTATATCATTATCACGAATAATAGAAGCTGATAGAATCAAATGTTTATAACAGAAGTATATCCAACAAGTCGAAATTGTATCTTTTTGGGCTTGCATATGTTGTCTCAAGGATTTTTTTCAATTGTACTCTCAAAACCAAAATTGTATAAAATAAGGTAATTTTTTATTTTTTTTAGTTTTACCAGCACTGCTATTTGTTAACATACTGTTAACGCTACCACTGACTACTTTCGTTGAGTAAATTTCGTTATGCCTGTCAGGTTTTGTCTTGCTGCTAGCGTACATCTGACGCTCACGCAGTTAGGTATTTTTTAGTCAATTTTAGTGTTGTGTAGTCGCAAAAGCAAATTAATTAATATGAGTGCTTAAATTACAATTAAATTACGTGAAAACACACGCTTGCGCGTTAAACTCGTATATTCGCTATATGTAAACTGAACGCCTGCTTGGCAATTGGAGACGCGCCCCCAACGCACAGCTCATGTGTGTGTGTGTGCACGATGTAACTACAAATGGATTAAAGCAGAGGTCAAAAGTGCACGCAGGCAAGAAAAAAGGGCAAACCCAGTGGTCAGCAAAAGCAAGTTGTGACGTAAATGGAAGACTGCGCTTTAAATTCGCATATTGGTTGTGGCCAATTGGGTGGAACATAAAACGGGACTCGGTGGCAATTGTTTTTGTTATGCTTAGCGTACGTATATCGATACGAGTATGTGTAAGTAAATATGTGCAGGCGCAGCCTACGCCATCGTCGCAGCCGAATGTTGTTGCTTCTTCTTGCTTGCCCAGGCAGTCACATTTAGCGCCAGATTCCTATGCTGATAAGGCGCGTGTGTGCGAGAGAGCAATAGTAAGTCAACCGCTAGAAAGAGCGAGAGCGGAAGAGTAATAGAGAGCGCAAGCTGCTGGCGTCAGCTGTTTTATGTTTTGATTGTGTGTGCTGGGCAATAATAAACGCAATCGCACAGGTTTTGTTCGTTCAGCCTGAGTTCTTGAGTTTCTGCGAGCCGCCGATCAGTACCGTTTGTGAAATTGAAAAGTCATCAACGGCTGTGCCGCCGCGTGCCATAAGAAGCAAACGAGCAAAATATTCACACAAGTTTTTCATTATCAGCGCCAATCAACTGACGTCGCATTTCTAATAGTTGCGCTCTATACAACTGCATGTGTGTTAGTTTGCAAGTGTGTGAAGGCGTTTGTGTGTGAATTGTGACGCGTTAAAATCGGGGCGTGTTCGCCATTAGAAAAGAAGAACGAGCTGTAAAGCAAACAACAATAACAAACGCAACAAGTGCATAGGCGCTAAACAAAAAGTGTTGAAAAATAAAAAGAAAACGTAATAAATGTTGATACAATTAAGAAAATTTGTTAATTAATAAATATCAACAAAATAGTAGAAAATGCAAACAGTACATAAATAAAAGTGCAAATTGACGAAACAACAATACAAAACAGGAGCAAAAAAGTTGTCGTAAATAAACCAAAGTGTTAATTAAAGATTTTCAAAGTTAAATAATTAAATTGTTAAGCTTTTATAGAAATAAGAAATATTCAAATGCGTTAACAATAATAAATATACAAATATTAATAGATATTAATACTAAAAAATGCCAGAAACGTGCCAAACTAATTAATTAACATTTGGCAGAGCTCAAAAATTGTTTCAATCGCATAATGACAAGCATAAACACGAGCTAAAAATCTGAAGCTCAAACCAAAATATTTGCACCTGGTCACACTACAAAGTAAATAAAAAAATAACAAAAAAACAAACAAACAAGCAAACGCAACAATAAAAAATGATGTTGAACAAATACGAAATCTATCAACGCACAAACAACATGTTTCCACACCAACAACAGCAACAACAGCAACAACAACAACAACATCATCAGCAGCCCCTACCACCGCAGCATCTACAGAATCTACAGTATCAGCTCTCCCATTCGCATCCCCACTCCCAGCCGCAGCTGCACTCGCTGCCCCATTCACTGTCCCCGCTGCAGTACATTGGCAGCGCTGCGGGCAGCACTGCAGCAGAGCTGGCCGCTGCCGCCGCAATGTTGGCCGCAACCAAAGCCGAACGCGAGTCCATACACTCGGGCCAGTTTATGGTCTCACACTTTGAGGCGGAGGAGGCGCAGGATGATCTCGAGGACGATGGCGAGGTCAAGATGTTGGACCCGGAGGATCCGAGCCTCGATAAAGCCGGCGAGGCGACCAACACCTGCCGCGATGTCCAGCTCTATGTGCCACAGACTGTAGCGCATTTTCCGCGCATGGATCTGGATCGCGAGTGCGATGAAAACAGCATGGGCATAATCACCTCCCACCTGGAGATCGAGACGTCACTGACCAAGCTCTTCAAGTGCATGAACCTGGCCTACAGGTGAGTCCAAACGGGAAAGCCACGCGTCACGCGCGTGATAATAGTCGCCCATTAATCTGGGTCTGGCCGAAAAGACTTGTCCGCACATGTCGCGGCGACGCTGGCGGCGACGTCGCCGCTCGGGTTACCTGGGCGCAACTTCGCTTTAATCGCTGTCTTTGTTTTCTGCTACGTCTTCTATTTCTGCAAACGTTCGCAAATGCAGGCGAACAAAAAAAAAATAAATAAATGAGAAAATCAGAAATCAAAAATATGAAATATCAATGCAATGCAAACTGGAACTGCAGCATTTCTGAACACATAATCAACGACTTTTACATACTCTGTAAATATAATAACCATGTTTATGGGGACCAATGAACATATGTATGGTAAAAGCTTTCTCTTGCAAACAGCAAAAGTCTCAGGCTTTAGTCGTGCTTAAAGATTTTTCCGCTCGAAGAAATAACAAAAACACAGCAAAACATTCAAAACTACACTTTTTCCAATATTTATTTATTTAAATTGAACAAAATATTTTTCTAATGAGAGTCTCTATAATTTTAAAAAAGATAGCTCGCCTGACTGAGAAATGGGTCAAAATTGTGGTATATTTATGTTTAAAAAAGATGAAAATAACAATTTAGATGGGCATAGTTTAGAGGACTAAGCGTTGAACTAACAAGAGAGAGGTCGTTTGTTCAAACTCAGCTGAGATTTTTTAAATTTGTTTTAATTCACAAAAAAAAACATTAGTTACTATATTTAAAATTTCTAAAATTTGGCAATTTTCGACTTGTGACTGCCATTTCATTGTTTAGTTCCAATTTTCATACAATTTCTGTTAGTAGGTTTTTTGTCCGCTTAATGAAAAAATTTTCAACGTTTGAAAAAGTTGGGAAATATATTGAAACTAAGCATTATATTGTATTACGATCGACCAATGTAGACATCTACGATCTTAGGGCATATATTCCAGTATTCTTAATCAGTGTCAGCAGGTGAATTGGTCTATCCGAATTTTATCTACTTATTCATATGAACCGCCAGACATCGGAACTCAAAGTCAACAATGCCTAGATAAAGCTTATTTGCCAATTTCGGTAAACCCAGGTGTGCTATGAATAGAATTTTGTTCTTTGAAAATGTGTATTGTACAAATTGTTTACTCAAATTACAATTTTAATACATATATGGACCAATAAAAATGCTTACAGAACTATGGAAACATCAAAATTTGATATAATATTTGCTTAGGTTCCTGTAAGGCACGTAGCCCGAGATTTACGCTTTGTTTTCATTTGTTTTGTTATTATTATTTTTATTTTTTGCTCCAACTTTTGACAAAGTCAGCAAGTTTGTTTATAATGGCGTATTTGCTTTTGGTTGCGAGCAGAAGGCTCGTTGATGCTACCCGGCTTTACACGGTACTTAAATATGTTTACTTTGTTATTGCATATTCCGTATTTAGTTTAAAATGTATCAATATTCTTGCCGTTGAAATCTTTAAAATCCACCCTGTGGGTGGGTCAGCATTAACATTTGTAATGACAACTTTATTACAATATATTTTCCACTTTATGTTATTTTAATGATCACAATGAACGATAAAATGGTAAAAGCCTACGTAAGAGTATACTTATCGCACATGCCCTGTTCTTATGTTTGTACACAGGTAACAATATATGTATGAGTATATGTGGACTTTATAACGCATCTCTAATTCATATTGGGCACGTACAAACTTTTTTTTTTTTGGCCCGCTTCTCGTCCTTACCCCGCCATATCTACCATAGTGCTAGAGTTCAAAGTTTTGGGTTCATTCAGTTTTAAGTCATCGAAGATCGTATGTTGCGTATTTTGTGCTTTTTTTCGTACCGATCTATTTTTGACGTCGTGTCGCGCAGTTTTTTTTTACAGTCTGCTTGTCGGTGTGGGGTTTAGCATACTCGTATTTTATGACCAGGCCTTATCAGTTTGAGAGTTAGATAGACGTTGGGCTTTATTTATGTTTGCATTCTCTTATCAGCCAGAGGCATTTTTGCAGGTCTCCCATTCAGTTTTCTGCCCACCTCGCCGTGGGGTTGCTTTTAGATAATATGCGCCGTGGGCGCGAACCCACGTGGATTAACTGTTCAGTTGTTGCATGTGGGAGTTGTACACACGAATGGGTTTTTTGGGCGTAAACAAATCGATATTAATTTGTATACCCCTGCAGGGGTATTTTGATAATGTAACGAAATGAAGAAGTTAGCTAAGATACCATTAAGGTATTTACATATATTCCTGACAACCAGATCAGTTTATTATTTATCTTGGTTGTCTGGCTAAGTATAGAAATAAATCTCAAGTTGTATGAATGCTTGAAAGGGTATTTAAAATTCGGCAGACCAAAACTAACAATACATTCTGTTTTGTTTTTATTTACCAAGTGTTTCTCTGTATAACAAGAGAGTATTTATATTAAATTTGAAATGTTTTTAATAACATATATTTTAG